CTTTTCACACTGATGTCATTGAGTCAGCATTTGAATGTGCAGAAGCTTTAATGTTACACTTAATAAATGTTCACTTGGTGCTATTTATTTTATTGTAATGCTTAATGCACTGCTTCAGTTGGCCTTTATAGTTCAACAAATATATTTTTGCAAACATAAAATGTGAAGATTTTACTGTTGACAAAAGTTGTCAAACATTTTTTTTATTAAACGTGTGTGTTATTTACCTTGTTAAAATATTTTCGTCAAGGTTTTGACCAAATGTTAAAGTTTGCAATGCACTTGAAGTATTTTACTCATCAATAAATGATGCAATATAAATTGTGAATTCATTCATTTATTTTTATGATTTTGTTCATTTGGTAGCATATTTAAAGTTAAATCTCAAGAAAAAATATAAGTAGGGGGGTCTTCGGCCCAGTGGCATCTCAAAATTTTCAAATCTGGCCCAGCAGAAAAATTAATTGAATAGGCCTGTGTTAAAGGATTTAAGAGATTTGGAGGAACATGGGATTACGGCAGGTGGAGAAACTGTTAAAGGGGRTCTGTTTTGTGTTGCTGGTGACAATTTAGGATCTCACAACATTGGTGGCTTTACTGAAAACTAGTTGCTCTCGGTACTTTTGCAGGTACTGTGAAATCGCAAGAAATGAATTTCAAACTAACCCCAATTTTTGTGGTTCACAGRGCACCCCTGAAAGTTACGATTCTGCTGTTCGTAATCTCCAAACAGGAAGCAGTCAAGATATCAAAGGTGTAAAGGTAAACTCTGATTTAAATTCTCTTAAATCTTTTCATGTTTGCCAACCTGGACTTCCACCTTGTTTAGGCCATGATGTATTTGAAGGCATCTTATCCTATGATGTGGCACTGTACTTGAAGTACTTCATTTAAAAAAATGGTTTACATATTCATAGTTAAACAGACGAATCAAGCAGTTCAAGTACAAAGGGTCTGAGTCTCTCTCCAAACCATGTGCTGTAAACTCTGAGGTGCCCAGGCTTTCAGGTCAAGCTGTTCAGAACTGGAATTTCTTGAGGTTGCTGCCCMTATTGATAGGTGACAAAATACAAAACACAGAAGATGATGTTTGGCAGTTAACTCTCCAACTCAAAGATATTGTAGATCTAATTTGTGCACAAAAGATTTCTATCACGAATCGAGGCAGATGAGCAGACCAGCAACAAAACCACATGGAGATCAATTTAAAACAAGTAACAGTGTTTATTTTTTACAGGTGCACAAGGAGAGGGAGTGGGGATCCAGACCTGAGAAGAGCGAGAGGAGCAGGTGAGTTTGCAGGTAATGATTCCAACGGGGATGAAGAATGGTAATAAGAAATTGATCTCCTTACTTTCAGTGACAAGGTGAAGAGTCCAGAGGAGTATTTACAAAGGAGACGCGTTGGAGGCAGAGAGGCTGAAGTTGCAGGTTTGGTTGATCCTCTCAGAATGTTTTCCTTGGGAGGTGAATCCAGCAGAGCTCGGGAGGGTTTACTGAGAAACAGAGAGACAGGGTTAAATAATTTCTAGGCTCAAGAGCAGGGTCACAGGCTGGTGAACGTTACCAAAAGTAGACGTTGCTTCAGCGTCGAGGAGATGTCATCAGC